TACTGCAACTCATCTTTCTTGCACCGCCAGATAAAATGAAGGGACTGAGCGGGCGAGAGGTCAAGAAGGTGCACGTGATTGCGGTGATCGCGAACTACATTAACGCCAGCAAGGTCAAGGGCAAGTTGCCAGAGCTGCCCTTGTATGCCACCAAGTACGATCCGTCCCTGTTCTGCGCATAACGCTTGCGCCATCGATCATCTCAACCCCCCCTCTTCCTTTCTTCAGGCTGCTTTCACTTCTATGCGGGATTCGGCTTGATTCGGGCTTTGCTGCGACGGGTGCTCGCCCACCCTCGCTCGTTGGCTACCTGGGAACGCAAGCGGAAGCAGTGCGCGATGCTTACATGACCAAGTTGAACGACCCCCTCACGAACGAGGTACTACGCTTCCGTGGGTGTGTCTGCTCGTCACGAGCCACCACTAAGCTTCAAAACGCAGAACCTTAGGGTGGAAATTCTGCGACTGGTGGAGAAGGCGCTTCGCCACCAACCTGGCCTCGCGTTGCTGTTCATCAACATCGACGCCAACAAGGCCAAGCGAGGCGGCGAAAAGGATGGCGAAAACGTGCAGGAGTCCCACAGCTGCCTCAAGCTCGTCCGCAAGATGCTAGCCAACAGTCGGCACAACATGTCCAGGTGAGTGTACCCGAATTTCGCTTTGTGAGGTGCTCTGCGCGCGCTCATCTCGTGCTCGCCAACTCTATAGTCTGCCTCGCCTCTTCGCCGAAGTCACATCCCTCCTGGGGTCGCTCTGGCGGGCCGCGCCAAGCCATCAGTCCATCATCAGAGCGCTCCGAGAGAGTCCGGACTTCTGGAAGCAACTCACCGAGACACTGAGCGTCAGCATCGAGCGGCACCTCCACGCCTACAACGTGCGCCAAGCTGCCTTGAATCCAACCAAGGCCGCCAAATCGCCCAGCGGCAGCGAAAAGGGGAAGGAACGGCTGACTGACGACCTCGATGACGAACCGGGTTAGTCGCACATCCTCTCATTCCCGCACTAACTGGCGTTTGGTTGGCTTAACCGACGTGTTTCACTGCAGTGACGGTCGAGGATGTCTGTTATCAGGTGACCATCGGTGCCAACGTGCTGCAAATCCTGGCACAGGAGGTGTTCCATGTGGACGATGTCAGCGATCAGCTCGATGCCTCGCTGCGCGACCAGCTGAAGCTCCTCGCCTCAAAGGAGAAGCAGGACAAGTGGTTCGGG